AAAAAAATTATTTCTTATAATTTACATAAACAAAATACAATTGATATATGGTTATGTTGATTAATACAAAGCATTCTAGTTCACTTTTTTATTTTCAAACATAATTATTATAGTTAACTGATTTTTTTAAATTGTGTGACATAATTTATTTACATATAAAAATAGAAAAAGTAATAGAAAAAGTATATATATATATATATATATAATGGAATGAGACGGGACATTCATGAGTTGAGACATTACATATTTGATCCTCATTGTCAACATACTTTTTCCACTTCAATATAAAAGATATTTTTCATTAAATCTTTATATTAATAAAAATTTGTTATTTAATTAAAATTACAATAATTTTCTTGATCATATCAATATATAAAAGATATTTTTAATTAAATCTTATATATTAATAAAAATTTGTTATTTAATTAAAATTACAATAATTTTTCTTGATCATATCAATTAATATCACAATGATTATAGATAAAGCACATAATTAATGTCTCTTCACTTTTTTTTTGAAATAAAAGTAAAATTATTTAATTACTTAAAAATATCGTGATGTTCTTTATATTTAAAGATAAAATAATTTTTTTAAAAATATTGTATACTTCCTCCGTTTTAAAATATAAGATATTTTTTAAAGAGTTAGATATTAAAAAATGTAAGGTATTTTTAATTTTTTTGAGATATAATTATTATTATTTTTAAAAATACTTTTATTAATAATGATTTTATATTTATTGTAAGTTATTTAATAAAAAATAAATATAAAAAATAAAATTAATTTAAAAATAAATAATTAATTTTATTAAAAGTAAGATTTAATTAAAAATATTTATATTTTTAAATGAAAGAAGATATAAAAATAGGTAAATAATCGAGAGGGCCAGGTCAACTCCGACCAAATTCTTCATGGACACTGAGTAGCATCGACTTGATCACAAGCGCGTCAAAACGCACAATTTCTGGAGGCAAACTGATGCGTTTTGATTCTAACGCGACGCGTGGGAACGCCTACTCCCTCTGCTTGCTGCACAGCTACAATTTGTTGCTGGCAGAGTGACAGCAACGGTTAAAAAGTTGGGAGATGAAAGACAGGTATCAAGTGAACCAATTAATTTAATATAAATTTAAAGTGTTAAATTTTAAAAATTTATAAATTTAATTCACAATTTAATAATTTTTTAATTTATTTTTAAAATTTTAATATGATTAAAAAATAATTTTTTTTATTAAAATTTAAAACACAAGTTATAAATTTATCACAATAAAATTATAAAATTGAGAATCACACTTAGAAATTTTTAAAATTTAACATTTTGAAATTTACTTTGAATTAATTGACTCCTTTTAAAAATCTAATCCCTCCATTAAAAAATATAAAATATTGTTAATTAAATTTTACTCTCTAATAAAGTAGTTACTTACTTTTAACTAACCGTATTTTTTCATATTTATTTCTACTAAACACTCTACAATAAATATAAAGTCATTATTAATAGGGACACTTTTAAAAAAAGATAATAATTATACCTCAAAAGACTAAAAATGTATTATTTGTTTGAACATCTAACTCCTCAAAAAATGCTTTACATTTTGAATGGAAAGAGTATCTATCATTCTCTCTTAAAAGTTTCATTTTTGTAGTCTTGCAACTAAAAAATAAAAAATATGTTCGTCTATATTCTTTGTAATTTAAAATATAAATAATTTTTTTTAAAAAAATTATATATTAATAAAAAATTTATTTTTATAAAAACATATACTTCCTCCGTTCAAAAATATAAGGTATTTTTAATCGAGTTTCACTCTAATAAAGTAATTGCTTATTTTTAAATTAACTATATTTTTTTATATTTACCCCTATTAAATATCCTATACTAAATATAAAGTCATTATTAATAAGAACACTAAAAAAAAGGTAATGATTACACTTTAAAAAATTTAAAAATGTAAAACATTCAACTTTTTAAAAAATGTCATATATTTTTTGACGGAGTGAGTATTAGTATTTTTTTAAACTTTAATTACCAATGCAAATACATAAATATTTAAATTAATAAATATAAAAAATAAAATAAAAATTAATATTTTTAATATATACTACATTTTTTATATTTTAAACTAAGGTTAAAGAAAAAATATTTATATTTTGGAGAGGTGGAGTATACTTCACGTGTATTTTTCATTAGATATTCTCGATATTCGTCACGCATTCAATCGAAGTTTCGTAAAAAAATCTCAGAACTCGGATCATACTTACGCCTGAAGAATTGTTTTTGGAGATCGATGCGCATGTAAAATTCCTCATCGATTTATGATCATGATTCCTCTTTCCATCTTCTTGATCGTTCTCTTCTTCATCAACCCCTCCATTGAGTCCAACGCTTCCATCTCCATCACTCCCACTGTCCTTTCTAAATCCGGCGATTCCGTCGGTATCCAATGGTCCGGCATTGATTCTCCCTCCGATCTTGACTGGCTCGGCATATATTGTCCTCCCGACTCTCGCAATGACCACTTCATTGGCTACGTCTTCCTCACCAGATCACCCACGTGGCGATCCGGGTCGGGTTCCATTTCCCTCCCCGTCGTCAACCTTCGATCCAACTACTCTTTCCGGATCTTCCGTTGGTCACGATCCGAGATCAATCCAAGGCGTCAGGACCACGACCACAACCCCTTGCCCGGCACAAAACACTTGCTGGCTTCCTCACAGGAGCTCGCATTTGAACCGGATCGGGGCCCTGAACAGATCCATCTGGCATTCACCGATAATGACGATGAGATGCGGGTCATGTTCGTTACGGGGGATGCGAAAGAGACGTACGTCAAGTACGGGGAGAGTAAGGATAAACTAGACGGTGTGGCGTTAGCTCGCGTGAGGAGGTACGAGAGGGAACACATGTGCGACTCTCCGGCCAACCAAACGATCGGTTGGAGGGACCCAGGGTATATTCACGATGGGGTTATGACGAATTTGAAGAAAGGAGTGAGATATTATTACCAGGTATTGCGCGTATATATTAAGCTGGGTCTGTAATCTTAATAGAATTGTTTTATACAAGTCTTAAACCCGGAAGCAACGCTACTCATAATTTGTTATATATATATATATATATATTGTTCAAATGCAATGTGAGCATGATAAGATTTGGTGTTTTCTTTTTGTCTTTGTTTTTGTTGATCGGGGAGTTTACTTGTATCCTTTGTGATTCCCCTCTGTAAATTTCACATTTTTTTATGGCCTTCCTGATCCTGAAAATTGCTTCGTTGAACCTTATGCTGACATATTGTTTGAGGAAAATTCAGTTGGCTTGATGTGTTATTTGACTCTGTTTCATTTTCACTACTTCACGTAATTAAATCATATGATCACGATCCAATATTGCTAATACTATTAGGTTGGAAGTGATAGTGGAGGTTGGAGCATAACACACAGCTTTGTCTCGAGGAATAATGACTCTGATGAGACGGTAGCTTTCCTCTTTGGTGACATGGGAACTGCTACACCATACTCAACATTTGTGCGAACGCAAGATGAAAGCATATCAACCATGAAGTGGATCCTACGAGATATTGAAGCTCTTGGTGACAAGCCTGCCTTTGTCTCACACATTGGAGACATTAGCTATGCAAGAGGTTATGTGTGGCTGTGGGACAATTTTTTTGCTCAAATTGAGCCTGTTGCATCGAAAGTGGCATACCATGTTTGCATTGGTAATCATGAGTATGACTGGCCCTTGCAGCCATGGAAACCTGACTGGGCTGGTTATGGAAAAGATGGGGGTGGTGAGTGTGGAGTACCCTACAGTTTAAGGTTCAACATGCCTGGAAACTCTTCAGAACCCACAGGAGCCAAAGCACCGGCAACTCGAAATCTTTACTACTCATTTGATATGGGAGTGGTACATTTTGTGTACATCTCAACAGAGACCAATTTCCTTCCTGGGAGCAGCCAGTATAACTTTCTGAAGCATGATTTGGAATCAGTCAACAGGAGCAAGACTCCTTTTGTTGTTGTCCAAGGGCACCGTCCCATGTACACAACGAGCAATGAAAATAGAGACACCTCATTAAGGAGACAGATGCTTGAGCACTTGGAACATTTGTTGGTGAATAACAATGTCACCCTTGCCCTCTGGGGACATGTTCATAGATATGAGAGATTTTGTACACTGAATAATTTCACTTGTATCAACAATGGTCAGAAAGGGGAAAATGGTACTGTTCATGTTGTAATTGGCATGGCAGGACAGGACTGGCAACCAATCTGGCAACCTAGACAAAGCCACCCAGATATGCCAATCTTTCCTCAGCCAAAACATTCTCTGTACCGAGGAGGTGAGTTCGGGTACACCAGATTGGTTGCGACAAGGGAGAAGCTTGTGCTTTCCTATGTAGGAAACCATGATGGCAAGGTGCATGATATGGTGGAAATCTTGGCACCTAGAGAAGTTGTCTATGATGACACTGGGGACGATAGTGGTGTCAAGGGTTCAACAGATGGTGGCCAGGTTGTGAGATCCAGTTTGTCTCGGTACGTGGAGGGAGCAAGTGTGTTGATGATTGGGGCAATCACAGGCTACATCATTGGTTTCATTTCTCACGGGAGAAAGAAGTCTGAGACCAAAACTGATTGGACTCTTGTGAAGACTGAGGAAAGGTGAAGATTGCAGTACTGTTTTGTGCAGTGTTTATCACAAGTAGGCACACATGTTCAAAGTTGAGACTCTGAGATTGTGCTCTACTGCTATTTGATTGATATTGGCCCTGAGCTGCAACATAATATAGTTGAGGACTTTTCGTAGTACATAGGCAAATTTTCATGCTATTTGGGATTTTCATAATCCTGGGGGGATTTGTATTAATATGTAATTCTGGTCATTTTTTTTTATTGGTGTCAAACTGAGGTTTCGATGTACATATGAGATGATTCATGATGGAACAAACAAAATGTGTTAAATAGATCAATCTTCTCCCTCAAATATAGGTGAAAGTTATGTTATAGAGTTTTGCCTTTAAAAATTTAATTATTCTTAGTATTAGATCTCTAGAGAGGATCCGTGATCATCTATAGAGTAACATTGTGCTTTGATGAAAATCGTTACACATCTTACGCATTCTCAAGTTATTTTTGGACTACTTTTTATTATTCATTAAATTTCTTATTGCATTTGATTACACTGTAACAATGCTACTTTTTGAGGAACAAAATAATAGTAACCCTTTTAGCCTATTAATTTGCGTGCACGCAGGTTAGCACCTTTAACTCGTGAGTTCATCTCATCCACATCCAAATTGAGATGATCCATAGCTTTATTTTGCCTGCAAATTACCAAACAACGAAAATGAACCTTTTAAGAATAATTTTAAAAAATTAATAGGAAATAAGAACACTAATCCATTTCTTTCGGTAAGAATGCAATGATAACGAATTCAGATACCATACTCAAATAATCATTTTATTTTAAGATATAATAATTATTTTTTTATTTTCATGTAACGCTTCCTCATAAGAAAAATAGCAAATTTCACCTGTCTATTTCAGTTCCCATGTCAACTGCCATACTCTTCAAATTGACCAAGACATTGCTCAGATCAGAAAGTGCCTCATCTTGTTTCGCCTTCTCAACCTGAATTTAATAACTTCCATGAAATAATAATCCAAACAAATAATTTATCACGAACATTTCATAAAATTAACCAAAAGCAAAAAAAAAAAAAAGAAAGAAAAAAAAAAAGAAAAAGCACGTACATCAGCTTTCTGATGTGCATTTGCTGCATCATCATGAACTGTTTTTGAAGCTGACTTTCTTTTAGGCAGAGCAGCTAAGCCTAACCATTCCCTCTTATCCATATTCTCCTCACCTTTCTTGGATAAAATATCTGTTTAGACATTATATTCCATGATGCTGTTATATTCTCAGCAAGAAGAAAAAAGCACACTAATTGAGCTATTTTAATATTGAGATAAACTAAAGAAGCTAGGCATGAGAGCTTAGAAAGAAAACCTGGTGCGATTGTCACAGGGCCTTGAATGTTTCTAGTCTTCTTCGGTTTCCATGACTTAGAGAAGATACCCCCAAGACTGTTTAATAGTTTCTCACCCTGATGACCAGAATGTACATTGTTTATTGAGAAGAAAACCAGGAAACAGAAGAAGAAAGGTAAAACAAATTCATGTATTAATCAAAATCAAAAAATATTTCTTGCTGTTGTCCAGTGACAAGTATATAAACTTTGGGAAGTTTAACTAGTTGATGTATGTAATCTGTTCATCTGAAAGGAGAGAATAAATGGGTGAAGAGAAACAAAAGAATACCATCTTAATTCAAAATTTTAAGATTCAATTTCACGGGTTCTTCCACTTTATTGTATTTTAATTATTATGCTCAAATTTATTTGACAAGACCCTCCTACATCAACTTAAGTCCTCACACATTTAGATAGCTTAACAATATTTTTAATTTTCTTTGCAGTTTCCACCATGTGGCTATCACATAATAATTTTTTTTTGGCCTTTCCACATCAAGATCTTCTTGAAGATATCACTCAAAACCAGACAACTTGCACAAAAAGTTAAAAAAAAGGAATCAAATATAGTTACCTTAGTCAAATCCTTGTCTGTATCAACTATCATATTGTGAGTCCTTGTTATTTGGTCACCCTGTAGGTGCAACATCTCAAGGGTCCTTGTGGCTTCTTCTCTTATGTCCTCAGCTATCTTCAGGCAATTCTTCACGTTCTTTGTTGTCTCTTCTGCCTTGTTCACAGCATAATTTTCCAACTCCTCAACACTCTGCGCCTCTAACTTGCTTTTGTATCTGCAAGGACCAATTCAACTCAAAATCATAAAAAGATATTGCTTTTGAAGTTTGGCGGTGTAATATGCTCAGATCATAACCTTGTTTTTGCAGAAGATGAGTGTGATAATGATGATGAAGTGGATGAATTTCCTCTTCCCCAAAAATCTTCTTCATCTTCATCATCAAAAGGGTTTCTTTTAGAAATAGGTACTTTGTGGGCAGATTCTGATGCAGTTCGTCTTGCTGGCTTTTGGTTTGATTTATCAAGTGGTTCTGAATCTGAATCAAAAGGGTTAGAACTGGAAGAAGCTTGAAATCCTGTAGCAACCTTGGGAGGTGTTCTTCTAAGGCCAAACATTTTCACTTCCAAAATTGATCTTATCAGCAGAAGATCAATCTACCTTTTTGAAGGACGCAAACTGGTTTCAGATTATGTCATACCTGCAAATAATTGAAATAAGTCAGCACATGGCGAATTAATTGGCGAGAAGATTACAGAACTTAAAGAGGGATGGCGAACAATAGAACAAATTTGCCTGAAAAAAAAAACCAGAAACATGTAGAGAGGGAACAGAACATTGGAATTCGAGAAGCATAAACCAACTAACAAGTACACAACACCACAAAAATTCAAATCTTGATTGGTCCTTTTGGAAACGGAATGAAAAAGCTCACATTGTACAAGGCGCACAAACCCATCGGCACAAGGATGGATTCGTTGCGCACGACAACTATGTAAGCAAGCAAGAAGAGAGTGAATAATATTGTTAGAAATGGGAGAGACTGAGAATTGCGCGAGTCTCGTTAATATAAAGTTTCCAACAGATGGAGGCGCATTGGAAAATCAGAGAGACATGTACTGTTCAAGGAATCTAAAAATTCGACCGTTAATTTCATAGAACTATACCGTTTGGATTTGGCTCGGCCTGTCTTCTTTTGGAAACAAATAAGGACCTTTTTTTACATTAAAAAAATAAGATAAAGAAGCCTGTTAAATTGCAGCTGTTATATATGGACCTAGTCAGGCCCAATTCATATGGATTCTAGCGAGATGCCTGGGACGATTTTTGTCTATTTTTTCCCCCCTTTTCTTTTTGTTTTTGTCTTCTGCTGGGCATCCAGGTCCAGGTCATATTGGACTTCTTAATTTCTTAATCTCCTCTGTGAAAAATAGACCTACTATGAATACAATGAAAATAGTAGTTTTAATGATTTAATAAGTCTGATATTGATTCACAGGGATGATGAGATTTTTAACCCCTTAAATTTGACCGAAAATTTTAAAAATTTAAACAAACAAAATAAAACACAATATATGATAGTAGCATTATATTAATAAAAAATAAACTAATTTGAGGGTTTATTTGCTCTCAGTTAATTATATATATGTTAAGTCATCAACATACTTTACATATTAAATCAAAGAAAAGTATAATTATTAGTCCCTATAATTTTATTGGGGTTTGCTTTTAGTCCTTGTAATTTTTTTAATATTTTCAATCCTTACAATTTTAATAAAATTGTGTGACATTTATTGCTCAGATTTTTATAGTTTTAAATTTTTAATGTTTTCAGATAAATTGAAAGTATTGAAAAACTATAAGGATTAAAAGTAAAATTTAATAAAATTATAAGGACAAATGATTTTTTTGCCTTAAAATTAATTTATGTTTTAAAAATTAAATAAATAATATGATAATTCAAAAAAATTAAGAAATTAAATTGATAAAAATTAGACTTGAGAAATTTTTAAATTTCATTATTTCTAATTAAGTTTAAGTCGGGCAAAGTCCCAAAATCACATCATCAATTACTCAAACATGCATTAATCTTTGAAAAAAATAAAATTTCAATTTAAAAATTATGTACTCTTTAGAGAAAATTGAAAAGACCTTAAATTAATTATTAAAAATTAGGTTAAATGGTACTTTCCCCTCAATTATTCATGAATACTTGATATCTTAAACTGTTTTTGTGACACAACATTTTCTTTTCATAATTGAAAACAAATATTGTCTCTATTGATCATGATCAGAAATCAGCGTGACACAATATTTTCTTTTGATAACTAAAAACAAATATTGTCTCTATCAATCATGATAAAAAATTAATGTTAAATTTAACAGTTAATTTTTTTGTCATAAAATTTAACTGTTAATTGGCCTAGTGCTCTAAAAATTATAGAAATGGATTTTTTTTTTTGGTCAAAGTATAGAAATGGATGTTAAAGATAAAAAAAGAAAAGAGCAGAATTTGGTTGTTACCCTTATCCGTTTGACCCCGGGCTCAAATCGCTAAGAATTCCCCCAAAAACCAAAAAAAAAAAAAAAAAAAAAAAACATGCCCGAGATGTATGGGAGTGTCATTATCGGACAACGTGCTAGTGTATAGGCTATAGACAAAGCCACCCAACACCCATATGGGCAAATGGGTGGGACACAAGCCTATAAATATCAAAGCTGGAGGGACGATGATTAAAAATAAAAAGGCGATCAAGGCAAGTGATGTGTATGAGCTCGTGTTCAATATGGACAATTCATTGAATTTATGAAGAAATAATTATGGAAGAAAATTGAAGATAAGAAGACAAATAGCCACTTCCTCTTTCACTCATTTTTTCCACACTCCTAATGCTCTGAGACTCTGCTATACAATTTCTGGCCATTTTCTCAAACTTGCAGCAATGGCTGCTCTGCTGTTCTCTGCGACCTGCGGGCAGTCAAATTCTGCGCTGGATCCTAAATACAGCTCAATCTTCACTCCAAGAAACAATTTTTGCAAGCTGTCTGCCTCCAGAAGGCTAAGAAGAAGAAAGCTCTGCGTCAAGAATGTCGCTAGCGATAAAAAGCAGGAGCTAGAAGAACAAGTCACCGAAGGTTTCTTTCTTCCACTTACTTCTCTGTTACATTAATTGTCTTGGCTGATTTTTGTTAGCAAGAAGTATGATTCTCGGTTATGATTGAGTTATAACGTCAATGCGTTATAGTGGTTGGCTGATTATAAGGGGCAATTTTCTTCTTGGTGTGCTAGAGGATTGTAAGTCGTGGCTAAATGTCGTATTGATCAAACATGGAATTTATAACTCAAATCCCTTAGAGAAAGATCACCTTTCTCTTCAAAATTTAGATTGATCATGAGTTTGATAAGGGAATTAGAGTAACAACGCCTTATCCTACCGGGTGTTTGGCTAGCTGATTGCACGACACGCCATTGTGATTTATCAATAACAAATATATTGTTAACTAAAAAGTCTTGTTCAACAGCTATTCCTCTTTACCGGGTTTAAGACTATTTGTTTTACTCTCTTCACCAATGCCTTCCATGGCCTTCTATTTGTTCCTCTTCAGAGGGAATTAAAGTAGTGCCCAAATAAAGGAACTTGAAAAAGCAGTTTCACTGTGTTTAGGTTCATTGCTTGCAAATATGGTAACTTTGGCAAGTTCCAGTTTAAATTTCACAAGTCATAAATGTTGTATTCTGGTGAAACTTATTCAACGAATACTCGAGATTTTCTCCCCACATCTATATGTTTCTATCAAACTAAAAATATTTGATATTAATTGAATAATGTTATCTTGGTTTTCTGTTTTCTGGCAATAAATTTGGTCCTAGATAATGAACTATCTTGCTTGACACTTGCAGGCACTTTGAATTCCTTCGTGCCAGATTCTACATCTGTCGCTTCGAGTATCAAATATCATGCTGAGTTCACGCCTTCGTTTTCTCCAGAGAAGTTTGAACTCAGCAAAGCATTCTTTGCAACTGCAGAGAGTGTTCGTGATACTCTAATCATAAATTGGAATACAACCTATGCCTATTATGAGAAGATGAATGTCAAGCAAGCATATTATATGTCTATGGAGTATCTACAGGTTCACAGTGGGTTTTCCTTTTTCAGCCTTAAGTCATCTTCCTTTGCAACGAGTTATTAATTTTCACAGTAACATTTTTTAAATTATTCAAATTTTACAGGGTAGGGCATTGCTGAATGCAATTGGTAACTTACAGCTTACAGGTCCTTATGCTGAGGCTCTCACTATGTTGGGGCACAATTTAGAGGATGTGGCTGACCAGGTCTAATAAAGTTATAGGGCTTGTTTGACTGTTTTCAGAATAGTTTTTTTCCTGAAAAAGAAAAAAAAATAAAAAAAAACTTGTTTGGAAATTTGTTTTCCGTTCTCTGTCTTGAAAAACAAAAAAGTTTTTGCAAGCTTTTTTCTTTTAACAAATATCTGGAAAGTGATTTAACTTTTGTGAATCCGCTGGTAGCATATAAGCGTAATTTGAGCAGGACTGCGACTACTCTGTGTCCGTCTCACTATCTCAATGTCTATCATTTTAAGAGATTTCATATGTGATCAATTCATCATCCAATATATGTTTGAAATAGTCTAAATACTGCTATGCTTAAGTTCATTTACAATTTACAGGAGCCAGATGCTGCGCTAGGGAATGGGGGATTAGGTCGCCTTGCATCTTGCTTCCTGGACTCCTTGGCAACACTGAACTACCCTGCATGGGGATATGGACTTAGATACAAGTATGGTTTATTCAAACAGCACATAACAAAGGATGGTCAGGAGGAAGTTGCTGAAAGTTGGCTTGAGGTATAAATTTGTAACCTTCAGGCATCAATTTGTATCTGACGGGTTCAAGCTAATTTTTGTATTAGCACAAGCTTCTATAGAGGTTAAAAGTAAGGTATTTGTAGTCTTTGAGTAGTTTACAGGTAGAATGTTGATTCACCGACTAAATCATCTATTTGCAGATGGGAAATCCCTGGGAAATTGTGAGAAATGATGTTTCTTACCCTGTGAAATTCTATGGAGAAGTTATTTCTGGCGAAAATGGAAGTAAACAATGGGTTGGGGGAGAGAATATAATGGCTGTTGCCTATGATGTTCCAATACCTGGATACAAAACCAGGACCACTATAAATCTGCGGTTATGGTCTACTAAAGTGTCACCAGAAGAATTTGATTTGAGAGCTTTCAATGCTGGAGATCATGCCAAAGCACATGCCTATCTGAAGAACGCTGAAAAGGTTTGGTAAAAGCTCTAATCACTTCAGAATCCAGTATTGTGATATTTCTTAACTGAAGCTCTATATTCTCCCATGAACTAGTAAAGAAGCATCTACGTATCATTATGATGGGTTTCAAAAGGTTCATCTACGTATCATCAGAAATTCTCCTTTGTACTCGTAAGTAGTAAATTCAGTGGAATAAGAGTGTTATTCACTAATGATATTCCTTGGGTTTTATGCTTCAGATCTGCTATATATTGTACCCTGGGGATGAATCAGTTGAAGGGAAGACTCTACGGTTGAAGCAACAATATACATTGTGCTCTGCCTCTCTCCAGGATATTATTGCACGTTTTGAGAAAAGATCAGGGAAGTCATTGAATTGGGAGACTTTACCAGACAAAGTAGTGGTCCAAATGAATGATACTCACCCAACACTCTGCATTCCAGAGCTGATCAGGATACTGATTGATGTAAAAGGTTTGAGCTGGGAGAAAGCCTGGGATATTTCTAAAAGGTTCCTTTTCTTAATGATAAACATATCTTTCAGTTTATATGATTTCCTTGAAAATATTTTCTGTAGTAATATGCAATTTTCAACTAAAAATATTATTTCCAATGTTTCTAGGTAGCGTCATTTTTTCAGATAACTAATTATAACTTCATTTAAAACACAATAATTTTTCAGATAACTACTACTTTCATCTTTATTTAAAAGATAGTAAGGACTGATTTTTTACTTTTGAATGGTGCTTCTGTTAGAACTGTTGCATACACAAACCACACAGTTCTGCCTGAGGCTCTAGAGAAATGGAGTTTACAGCTTCTGCAGGATTTGCTTCCTCGACATGTAGAGATAATAAAAAAGATAGATGAAGAGGTAAAACTGTAAAAAATTCATGTGATTTAGAGTTCAAATTCTCATGGTATGTATTTTTCTTTCATTCTTTGTTCATGTATATACTGAAATCTTTTTGTTATCTAATGTCGTGTATTTGTTTTGTTGTCTAGTTTATTCATGAAATTATCAATGAGTATGGTACACATGATCTTGACTTATTGCAAGAAAAACTTCAGAAAATGAGAATACTAGAAAACATTGAGTTACCCAACTCGGTGATAGAGCTTCTTAATCACTCAGAAGAGGTTTCTTCCACTGATCCTATCAAGAATGCTGACATTAATGATGAAAAGATAAAGGCTGCAGAAACAGAAGAGAGAGAAGAAGAAGCTGATGAAGAGGAAAAAGAAGAAGAAGACAATGATGATGATGAAGAGGAAAAAGAAGAGGATGGTGATGACCAATCAAGTGAGAAGGATGGTAAAAAGAAAACAAAGGTCATATTTAAAGTTGATCCAAAACAGACCATGGAGGTTTGCATGGCTAATCTATGTGTTGTCGGCGGGTTTTCTGTAAATGGAGTAGCTGAGATTCATAGTGAGATTGTAAAAGAGACAGTTTTCAATGAATTTTACCAGGTAAATATGGCAATAAACTATTTTCTCTTTTGTTGTTCTTTTATTTCTCAGTTTTTCTGTGCGATTACAAAGAAATTTTTGTATTCAAATTTTTATTTGGGCCTGAAGGTAGTTCTTGGTGGCCTTCAATGATGATTTTGGCCCATGGTCAGTAATAGTGGCAGGGATAAACTTATAGCAAGGGGTAGAGCATGAATAGAAATAATTGCCTTGCTTATTTTTATTATAAGTTTTCCTTTAAAAGTTTAAGTTAATTTAAATTGGTTAAAAATCGTTCGTTAGAAAGCTTTTTCTCTGACAAAATAATTGTCTGTTTTCCTAGAAATCATTCAAGTGTTTATAGTTGAGAGCTCTCTGCATCTACAACCAAAAAAGAAAGCTTATGAGAGTTGTACTTATCTATTTATTGAATTATTGGCAGTTTTGGCCTCAGAAATTCCAAAATAAAACAAATGGGGTGACACCCAGAAGATGGATCCGTTTCTGCAATCCTAATCTCAGCAACATCATAACTAAGTGGATTGGAACAGAGGACTGGGTAACAGATCTTGAGAAACTGGCAATACTTCGAAAGGTAAATTGGTTTAATCTAACATAATGTATTTCTTTTTAACTCAGGGTGATGCTTGGTACCGAGGCAATATTAAATTTTCACAGTCGCCTCTTTCATTGTGCATTGCAACTTGCTGTTCTTGATGGATTTAAAGTTTTAATAAGCTGTAATGTCCACCCTTAGCTTCACTTTTATGTGGAAAATGCTATTATGGATTCACGGACCAATCATCGAAAACAATTGAAGACAACTTCATCTTCAAACTGCGGGAAATGTTGCCATATTTTTTAGTTATTGTTTCACTGTGCCTTTGTGGTCAGTTGTTACACGATACATGGATTAACAGTAGCTAACTGTATGGTTGATTCACTAGTCAAATGCCCCTGCACTTGAGCTTTTCATGCACAATTTGATTAATTTATATGATATTATTCTAGTTATTGTCAGTTTGAAATTATCCTTACTGAAGGGAAACAAAAAATTAAAAATCAACGCTTTACAGTTTGCTGATAATGAGGATCTTCAATTAGAGTGGAGAGAAGCAAAAAGAAGAAACAAGGTTAAGGTTGCAGCATTTATCAAAGAGAAAACTGGTTATGTTGTCAGTCCAGATGCAATGTTTGATGTACAGGTTGATTTTCTTTCACAAGCTCTTCTTCCCCCCCCCCTTGCGGTTTTGTTCTTATTTATGTAAACATCAAGAACATTGTAGTATCTTATTCCTTGCACTCACCCCAAGCTTTGATAAAGAAATTTATGTATCCAAATTCAGGTGAAGCGCATTCATGAATACAAACGGCAGTTGTTGAATGCAATGGGGATTGTTTATCGCTACAAAAAGATGAAAGAAATGAGTCCTGATGAAAGAAAAAGAAGGTTTGTTCCACGGGTCTGTATTTTTGGTGGAAAGGCATTTGCCACATATGTTCAAGCCAAGAGGATTGTGAAATTCATCACAGATTTAGGAGCCACAGTAAATCATGATCCAGATATTGGGGATCTTTTGAAGGTAACATTTCGTTTTGTGTGAGATAAACAGACATGAATTAACGAAGGGAAATTTAATGACATCAATTTAATTATAGTGAAATTTCCTTTTCTCACCCCATGAGAGAATGCCTCACAAGGATCCTCAAGTACAGAAAAAATGACCATCCTTAAAAATCGGCAAAGACAATTAGATAGTATATAAAATAACTTCACGAAGTTTAGTACAAAGGAGTGAAGAAATAGCATTTAATTGGAGTGTTTTAAACTAATTTACCTATCATATCATAAGCTGAACCTTGGTCTGTCCTACTCGTAGATTGTATTTGTTCCTGATTACAATGTCAGTGCTGCGGAAGTGCTAATTCCAGGCAGTGAGTTATCCCAGCATATCAGGTATTTTCCCTCTAGAATATTAGAATTCAATGACTTTAAAGTATACAATATTATCATTGGCATAGTATTGTTATTATGCTTCCCAATTTGCAATCATTTCGAAGGTTGATATAACTTTGCTTTTTAAGTTAAGAATTATCTCTTCATGTTCTTTCTTGTTTAGCACGGCTGGGATGGAGGCCAGTGGAACTAGCAACATGAAGTTTGCAATGAATGGGTGCGTACTTATAGGAACTCTAGATGGGGCTAATGTTGAAATAAGAGAAGAGGTTGGAGAAGATAATTTCTTCCTTTTTGGTGCACGAGCAGATGAAATCGCTGGCCTACGTAAAGAAAGAGCTGAGGGAAGGGTGAGTTCTTTGGAAAAACTAGACCAAGTCAATCATGAATAAATATATAAGCTTGTTAAGCATACATTTCAGTAGAATGTGCCTCTAACAATGTCATATGTTCTGTTGAATGTCACGTGCAGTTTGTAGCAGACCCAAGGTTCGAAGAGGTAAAGGCATATGTCAGAAGTGGTGCTTTTGGACCATACAACTATGAAGAACTGATGGGATCCTTGGAAGGAAATGAAGGCTATGGGCGTGCTGATTACTTTCTTGTTGGGAAGGACTTTCCTAACTACATAGAGTGCCAAGAGAAGGTTGATGAGGCTTATAGAGACCAGAAAGTAAGTAATGGCTCGTCCGCACATAGGCTCACAGAAAATGAATTTTCATCTAAATTTCTGGGCAGTCTTGAACGAAGCATATAGCATAGATAGCACAAGGAATACGACCTTAAGGTTTATGCAAGTACATGAAATACGTTCGCCTGAAATATTCTAAAACAGTTTAAATATTGCTCAATACACAAGTAATTACTAAATTGATTAATTAAACATGCCATGCTACTTATATGTGATACCTTGACCAATTTTTTTCCCACCTGAGATGTTTTATGATTGATGTTTGGGCAGAGATGGACAAGAATGTCAATCCTGAACACAGCTGGCTCATACAAGTTCAGCAGTGACCGGACTATTCATGAGTATGCAAGAGACATTTGGGGAATTAAACATGCTAAATTAGCATGAAAGGTTATACAGATATGGCGGTGGAAAACTTTGTTGATGTTCTATTGATAGTTAAGTCGGGCCCAAATGTAAAAAATTTTGCTAATCAAAATGAAGTTGTTCCAATCCAAGCTTTCTGGTCGTGTGGTATATATTTATTTCCACTGCATAAAATTTTTGTTCCCTTGATTGTTTAGTCAACATAATACACATTGTACACAAAAGGCTAATTCCCAAGAAATTTATTACAGTATGATTTTTACTGTTAGAATTTAAGTCAGAAGAGCTTCAAATACTTGAAGCAGACATGAAGGAAGAATAGGGACCTCAAGCAAAGAAAAATTTTATTACTCAACAATAATTTACACAAATGTTGCCTTGACTTTTCAATACTCTTCTTTCTCTCCTTACGCCGCCATCTTGGTACTTCACGTTCCTCACTATGCTTTTCTTCCTTCTCTCCCCGCAACACACCCAAGCCAAGCATTTTTATTATATCCTGTATAGGACTGTTATATTTATTGCATTACCTTTCCATTTTCAACGCCATTTTCCAGATGCTAGATTATTCTAGCAATCACTAGGTTACCGCCATTAGTTATCTTAGTGGGGAGAAAGATCTAGCAGATGTGAAAGAAAATTCTTGAGATGGGGAGAGTGGGTGAGAATTTAATATACTTCTTTTATTACCCCATAAGATTAGCTTTTGGCAATCAAGGAAAAATATCTCAATAACCAGCGGCTATTGCCCCATAAGATTAGCTGTTGTAAGCAATTATGTCAATTCCATAAGATTAGCTGCTGTAAGCAACTATGTCAACGTTCAATCAAGCTTTTAAGGTCAAAGGTGGAAACGTATGCACTTGCAACGCATAAAAAGTTCTCAGATTTTGGCATTAAATTCGAACTCATCAACCCTCATGACAATCACAAACTATAAATTCTCGGGGTGGGTGGGAGATAGCCAATACAAGCTAGGATCATAGACACATCCGAAAGACATATCAACTGATCTTAATTACTACTACTGCTACATTTTTCAAGAGATTGAAAGGAGAGATTAATGATGGAGAACATTAGTTTTGGAGAGGAAGTGGAGAACAAGCAGGTAATATTCAAGAACTATGTGACAGGTCATCCCAAAGAATCTGACTTCTACATAATCACGAGTACCGTCAAGCTCAAGGTTCCTCATGGATCAAACACAGTATTGGTGGAGAACCTCTTCCTTTCCTGTGATCCTACCATGCAATTTAGAAGGAGGAACAGTGTGCAGGTCCCTTCCAAAACTGAATCATACGTCCCTGGCTCTGTAAGTCTGTCTTGTCCTTTCTCAACCCATAAGTTTTCTTGATTTGGCTTCGAAGAAAAAGCAAGTATGTGATGTTCAGTTTGACATGCTTGTTTTGATTTTAACAGCGCGTCTAATGTTTTTATCTTTTTTTTTTTCTGGTTAAAACCTTGAAGCCCATAAATGGGTTTGGAGTGGCCAAAGTATTGGATTCAGTGCATCCAAATTTCAAGGAGGGTGACTTAGTTTGGGGAACAACTACATGGGAAGAATATAGTCTCATCCAAAATCCAGAAAGCCTCTTCAAGATCCAGCACATTGATGTGCCCCATTCTATTACACTGGAATTCTTGGTAACTAACTTCCCTGATTATGCTGTTGAATGAAAAAAATAAAAAATACTTGACATGGTATTATAATCTAAGTCTTAAGAGCTTGTAATTTATCTAAACTTCAAGCCTAACATATTTTGGGAGAAAACACGCAAAATAAAGAGTGAGTTATTGACTTGGTCACTAAAACACATTCTTCTCTCAAATTTTGCTCTCCAGGTATACCTCTTAATCTAGTGATTGAGAGATTTTATTTTTCTTTTTAATTTAGTTCTCCAAAAAAATGAAATACCTCTGGTTAGCCCCTCAAAAAATTTAAAGTGTGGAGTCCTTAATTTTGTTGGAAAAAATACACTGTTTTTGAGGACTAAAATACTTTCTTTGAGGAGCCAAACTGAAGGAGTATTAAATGACTACATTGAGAGGCTTATCTTTGGAATACTAAATTGAAATAAAGGTATTCTTTCAGAAATTAGATCATTAATTTGCTTCAAAATAAAAATTTTAAACTTTTGAGTTACTCCTAATCTTTCACACAATTTATATCGTTTTTGTTGGCTCTTTCAATAGGGATGCCTGGTATTACTGCTTATGCTGCACTCCATGAAATAAATCCTCCTAAGAAAGGAGACAATGTTTTCATCTCAGCAGCATCTGGTGCTGTTGGTCAACTTGTTGGACAATTTGCAAAATTGATGGGTTGTTATGTTATTGGAACTGCTGGTAGCCAAGAAAAGGTACGAGTACTAATTTGAACATCTTTCACAGAAAATGATCTCATTTTTCTATCTTGGAATATTACACTCATCTTACAGATCAATTTCAACATGTTCGTCTTCATCATGTTCATTTAGGTTGATCTGCTCAAGAACAAGCTTGGCTTTGATGATGCATTCAATTACAAGCAAGAACCTGACTTGGATGCAGCAATTAAGAGGTCCATCAATGAAAATTCCCAATGATATCTTACTGCATTCCAATCTTCATGCTTCAAGCACATTTTTGTGGGGATGAGATAAATTCAAAACAAAACAGTAGGCATCTTCAAGTATCGAGGAACTGATTTTTGTTGTTTTCTATGTCAATAGGTACTTCCCTCAAGGCATAGATCTCTACTTTGATCAAGTTGGGGGTAAAATGCTTGATGCAGTACTGCTAAACATGAAAGTGCATGGCTGTATCACTGTGTGTGGAATGATTTCACAGTACAACATTGCTGAGCCTGAAACCCTAAAGAATGTGATGCAAATTGTTCTCAAAAGGCTGACTATAAAAGGGTTTACACACAGAGATCACCACCATCTCTACCGAAAGCTCTTGGACACTGTGCTGCTTTATATCAGAGAGAAGAAAGTTGTGTATGTTGAAGACATTGTTGAAGGCCTTGAGAATAGCCCGGCAGCCATTGTTGGCCTCTTCAGTGGAAGAAACTTTGGGAAACAAGTAGTTGCTGTTGCTCATGAATGATCTTTCAAATATCAAATGCATCCTCGTGCGCCTATGTTTCAAGAATAATGATGTGATTGTATATTATGTATGTTATAATACTAATGATTGGTGTGAACTATGAGAAATGTGTCGGTACAGTGACAGGGAGGGTACTGGCAGGAATCATGGCCTCCTCCTAGTTATCATTTTTTCCTTAATATTTTCAATCTGCCATAATCTCTATGATCTTGTTTGCCTCCTGAAATGCGAAGTTCATATGCATACAAAAGAGCAAAGCGTAAGAAACTAACCAGGTTGGATATCTAACAAAAGGGATTAGTTTTTAACAATATAGCAAATCAAGTTCAAACCCTCACTATAAAAAGTTTTCACGTTTAGTAATTGATTATGTTTTAAATATAATTGTCTCCAATAAAAAAACACTTGTAGGCAATTAAAAAAAAAAAGAAGCTTAAGATGAGTATGAAGAATATACAAGATGGTTATAATTAATAATCTATCCTATTGACAAGTTGCATAGCAGAAAAATGTGCAAGTATACACATGCTAAATTCAAACAAATACTGAATAAAGAATGAATAGAAATAAATATAAAAGCTAAAACTATTTATTTGATTTTTTTTTCTAATAATAGATAAACACATACCTAATGATAAGGGCTTGACTCAATAATTGGCATCTAAGCCATTATCATGGGTTTGATTTATGGGGATGACTTGTCAAAGGCACTATGAAGGGTCAAAGTTAAATCGAAATTTGGCACTTGGGCTAATAAAATTAAATAAAAAGAAAACTCATTGTAACTACTATTTATAGTTTTTGACTATGTGGTAAATGCTTGATTCAACACATACATGATGTGTGCATACATCAGTACATACATATATTTACGTCAATGATTTAAATAAGAGTTAAAATAATTTACGCATATTTCAACGGGAAAAAATGCAGCAATGTTTCTCATTTTATTATCTATCAATAAAGGCGGCAAATACACGACACACATATTTGTGTATTTCACACAATCATTTACTTTAATTATTGTTTTGAGGTTGGTAAAAAGAAAATTGGTGAATGGTGATCACTGATCAGGCGTATCAATCTTAAGATTATATACGATTGCTGCAATAAAATCTTTTAAAATTCTGAAAACTTAGGCTTAATTGAAAATAAAATAAAATTTTAAGGACCATTAAGGTAATTTAGACAAATATAAAAAAACGAGAGTTGTTTCCCTTCTCTAAAATTTAATAATAGCACAATACCAAGTGTACTCTTTAGTTGGAATCTTTGTATTCAATATAATGTTCGAACGTAAATAAGAGTTAAAAAAAAACTATTTCTATTAAATTCTATTTTATATTATTATTTGCGTGATTATATGAATAATTAATTCAGTTACATTCTTGCAAACAACCAACTCATCTAATCACAGTATGTTACAAAGGGAATGGGGAAAAAAAATACTGCGGAACTTAACCAGAGTGGACCAATTATGCATTCTGAAAAAGTAACGATTTTTTGTCAGACAATTTGGTGATGTTTGACTTTGACAAGAAGCTTTTAGACGTGACTGCTTTTTCTTTTTTTACCTTGAACTTAGACGTAATCACTGACATATTGATGAACATTTTTCTCTTTGACCTTTACATAATTGTGAATAGTTTGATCATTGGATTTCTTCCTCATGATGATAAACACCAACATTAAAGCTTCACACTTTCGCTTATGGAACTTGATGTTTCATAAAATAAAAGTGTCATTCTTCTACTACCAACCGGCTGGGTTCTAGTGCGAGCTTTTTGGATTTGAATTTGTACGCATGTAATGTCTATGATAAAGCTATCCCTAGTTGAATCCGGCAATATTTGAATTTGACCCAGCAAGATTCGAGCATGTTTTTTAATTTTAGACGGCTTTTAGTGTTATGTACTAGTCAAATTACAAAACAAACTAACTTCGTAATTCCTATACGAGTCCAATTGGTGACTCCATATCACTAGGTTTCAACAAAGACGTCATTCTGCATCATTAAATCTATTAAAACTCATCTTTCGTAAGCAGTTACGTCAAACTCATTAGGCTAAACTATAAATAGAGGGAAACCTATGTGATTTAGTACCATAAAGCATAAAGAACATCAATCAACAGATAAACACACACCCTACAAGAGTTCTGAGATTCAGGAGCCAGATATCATCGTATCAGATTTAGTTAAGCATGGCAAAGAAGAACATTGATTCTGTGGAGGAAGTGAAGAACAAGCAGGTGATATTGAGGGAATATGTCACTGGTCGTCCGAAAGAATCAGACTTTTACATAACTACAAGTACCATCAAGCTTCAAGTTCCTTCTGGATCCAATGCGGTTCTGGTCAAGAATCTGTTCCTTTCTGTTGATCCTGTCATGCAGTTCCAAATGAGGGAAATGAAGCACCAAAACCTTGCTGAATATCAATATTATACCCCTGGCTCTGTAAGTTTCATCACTTCAAGCACTTTTAATAGTTTGGTCTCTCAAGAAAATAGAGACTATATATTACTGGGCTTGCTTAGTTTCATCACTTTTTCACTGCTTTCTTTTTTTCCCACTGTAATAGCTAATTGTTTCCAATTCAATATATTGCAGCCTATAAATGGGTTTGGAGTGGCTAAAGTTGTGGATTCAGGGGATCCAAACTTCAGTGTTGGTGATTTGGTTTGGGGAACAACTGGTTGGGAAGAATATAGTCTCATTCAACAACCACAGAAACTCTTTAAAATCCAGCACACTGATGTGCCTCTTTCCTTCTACACTGGAATTCTTGGTAACTAACTAAGTTCTGACTTCAACATTTCTTTTTATTTATGTCAATGTGTTCGTAGTCATAGTGTATTCAATGACTATTTGAACATAAGATTCATTTATATTGCAAGGTAAAGAGGATTGAGTTTATGATACTTTTCTCAATAGGTATGGCTGGCATTACTGCTTATGCTGATGTCTATGAAGTTTGTACTCCAAAGAAAGGAGACAGAATCTTTGTCACAGCAGCATCAGGAGCAGTTGGTCAGTTGGTTGGACAATATTGTAAGTTGATGGGTTGTTATGTAGTTGGAAGTGCTGGTAGTCAAGAAAAGGTACATGTTCTAATCATTCCATTTTTCAATGTATATGAGTCAATTCTATATTCTAGGTTCACAAATCACAAGTCCCTGTATTCATCATGTTTTGCAGGTTGATCTGCTGAAGAACAAGCTTGGTTTTGATGATGCTTTCAATTACAAGCAAGAGCCTGACTTGGATGCAGCCATGAAAAGGTAAAAAATAGGCCTCTTGTTATGTGTGTTGCCTTGATCTGAAAAATAAAATGAATAAAACAGGCTTACGCGCTAGCCTGAGCCTATTTTTTATAGGCTTATTAGGGTTAGATCCAAAAGTTTTTTCATGCTAAAATCCTTCATTTTCAAAAACCCAACCCTAAGAAAAGCGATTCTAGATGGGCAACCCAATAAGTCCAGCCCATATTGATTGCTGTACTCATAGTTTATCCTGTCTTAAACTCTTATGTGTAGTATATTTAATTTCCAATTTTCAAGACCCAAACCCACGTTAAAATGAAATTAACCATAGCCTTAAGTGCCTGTTTGAATAGGCAATCAGAATCAATCATGTGAATCAAACCATGGTTTTGATTTAAAAAAAAAAAAAAAACCAAACACCCCCCGTGTTCCCATAATCAGTTATGTGAACCTGTTACTTGTTTGCTTTTTCGTTCTACATTTGAGCCAAAACCACGATTTGCAGAGTCATTTCCAAACATACTTGTATAGTCTGTTTCATTGCCGGTTAAAGCTAATATTAACAAGGGATGTGTGCTTCTCCATTAATAATTAGGTATTTCCCAGAAGGAATAGACATCTGTTATGAGCAAGTGGGTGGCAAAATGCTTGATGCAGTGCTTAGGAACATGAAAGTGCATGGTTGTATCACTTTGTGTGGGATGATTTCACAGTACAATATTGCTGAGCCTGAAACCCTAAAGAATGTGATGCAGATTGTTCTCAGAAGGCTAACTATAAAAGGGTTTACACACAGAGATCACCACCATCTCTATCCAAAGCTCTTAGACACTGTGCTTCCTTACATCAGAGAGAAGAAGGTTGTGTATGTTGAAGACATTGTTGAAGGACTTGAGGATGGCCCAGCAGCCCTTGTTGGCCTCTTCAGTGGAAGAAACTTTGGAAAGCAAGTACTTGCAGTTGCTCATGAATGATCTTTCAACTACATCACAGTAAATCTTTTGACGCTAGCTAGTATATATTTTCTAGTATATTCAATAAATGTTAGATTATTTACTTGGTTGCAAGCTTTAAAGTTATTAGAAAAATGAAATAAGGTTGTGGGGTCCTAAAGATAAAGGGTTTGTTGTTCATTTCTTTCCCTTGATGACACACAATAAGCAAGAATGCAAAGATTTAACAATAGATTATTGTATAATTTTTATGTGAGTTGATGGCTAATGAATAGTGATATGATTTGATGAATATGATTTTTTTTGGGAGTTGTGCAGTTTGTTTATTTGTGTTAGTTTTTTCAAATATTTATTTATGTGTAATTATAATCTATCATGTCACTAAATTTCACATTTGAAAAACTATACAAGATAGTGTTTTAAAAAATATTTACATAATATAAAAGATAACGATTTAGAATATATCTATACAACATTCAAATTAGTATTTTAGATTTAGAACTAAATAAATATGATTTGTAAGAGAAGTTCAAGTGTACTTCAATTGTAGTGTTGTTAACTTGTTATGAATAAAGTGAAAAAAATTTGTTTTTATGAGTATTTGTTAAATATGCTAAATTATATTTACGACTTTCTTGGTAGGGCATAGTTCAAGCTAGGCCTTTTCATTTGGAAAGTGCAAAAGAAATTCAGTATAAGCTTGACAAATTTGGCCCAAAAAAGGCTTGACAAAAAATGCAACAAAAGCTCAGCCCGTAAACAAATTTATCATTCCTGACAAAAAAAAAATTGTATCCTTCACATTACGAGCCTTTTTCTCCACGTTTCACTCCACTAAAACTTACGGTACACATATGATAATATGAACCATTCAGGTTAAATTTTAATGGTAACTAGTAAGGATTAATCCATACTTTTAAAAGTATCAAATCTAAATTATCACATGTCTAATCTATCGGTCCAAATTTGCAGAGTCTACTACTGTGAAATGAAAATAGAAAAAATGATAAATAAATATCTTCAAAATTTTTAATATAGAAAAAAAGTTTTATTAACAACTTTATATTCGTTATTATTAACCTTAGTTTAGGTATTAAGGTTAGAAATGTAATTTCACAAAAAATAATGTCTGCTAAGTCCGTGAGAGCTTCAAAATAATTACTGTACTTCATGATATTTATTTATCATTTGTAATTTGTCCGTTTGGATGAGAATTTGTTATACTTCCATGAAAATAAGCGACCGTTCCCTCCTTCTCTCTCACAAATTTATATGAGATTATATAAATGTCTGTGAGCAAATGGTATCTCAAACTTTATAATTTTTATGCATATCATGTAAAATTTCAAGTGCGTCTTCATTCTTCATATCTATTTAAAATTAACAAATTTGGATTGGATGAATTCATTCACGATGAATTTTCTAAGTCATATTAACCCCAACAAAAAAAAAAGAGTTAAACATTTAAAAATAATAAAATATGGATAGCTACACAATATCAAATGCCCTTTCTCCTTCACTTGTTTTATATGCAGAATAAATTTGCGGACAATACCTAGCTTTTACTCTCTGTTTTTTTAAACCAAAAAAAAAAAAGAAGCGAGGAGAAACTAAATCATTATTGAAATGAAAAATATTTGTATTTGGTTTTATATAATTTTATATATTATAAAATTTTATTCTATTGAAATGAAACTCATTTTTAATTTGAAAAATAATGAAAAAATCTCATTAAAATATATAAATAATAATGAATTCTCGTGAAATATTATAATTCTTTCCAAATTCTTAAAACCTTTTCTTACATCAATGGTTTCTAGTGAAATGATTAAAATATTCTTAATTTAAAATAAAAAAGTAACAGCTTTACCTCAAAAAATAAATATCAGTGACTATTTTAGTTTAAGTGATAATTTTTTTTTTTGACAATGATTAGAACTAAACAAATAATTATAACTTTTTATGTGGAACAAATTTTTTATTTATTGAAATTTAAGTATTGTAAATATGTGTGATTATTTTAATTTAAGTAAAAAACACTTTTCTTTTAACAGTGACTAAAATAAACAAGTAGTTACAACTTTCTTTGTATAAATTTTTTTTATTGGAGTTAAAATGTTGTAAATATTCATGACTACTTTAATTTTAACAATCACTACTTTTTTTTGTCAATGATTAAAATGAAACAAATAATTACAACTTTTTTGGTGCAAATTTTTGACTCATTAAACTTCAAATGTTATAAATATTTGTGACTATTTTAATTTAAACAATTACTACTTTTCTCATAGCAACAAAAAAAAAAAGCAAAACAAGTACTTACTATTTTAGTTTCAATTGAGAGTATTTTAATTATTTCACCAAAAATTATTAATATTATAAAAGTCCCTAATTATTTACATATTTTAAAGGGATTTTCTATCATTTCTTCAATTATTTTTATGGGAGAAGTTCAGTAAGGGACGAAATGAGATGATTATAAATAAAGCCCATTGAAATCTCAAATGTAGGAAAATTGAAATGAAATAAATTTTAATGATCAAAAGACTCAAATACTCAAGCTTCAACGTTAAACCATGAATTTCCCTTTCAGATATCGGGGACTAACATTACTCCCCGTCCGGTGACTCTCTCCGATTTGATCCTTGGCTGTTTACTTTCAATTCTCATGAATGAAATTCACAGAGATGACGAGATTTCCTCGGCCTCAAGACCAGACCCTACCTTCATCCTCATCTTCCAACAGCAGGTCTGAAACTCTTCTTTCAGATCGCCCCTTTTGTTTGTACCGATTCTTTTCTTTTTCTTTCTTTCTCGTTCACTCTTAAACTTGAGTCTCCCGCTGTCTTGTTGTCGGAAGAAAGCAAGAAATTCGTATTCTAGTTCATGTACTTTGACGGCATAAAAATGGGAAATTTGATGGCAATTTACCAAGTTTAGCAGGTTATGAAATCGTAGTCTATTTTAGCTGATGCTTCTATTTTTGCCGGCGGATGATAATATCCTCTTGATACTTGTTAGGCGAGCAGAAATCTTAAATAGCTGTGTATATGCGTATTATTTCTGATTTTCGATTTCTAAGCTTGTTAATTTTCAAGATCCTCTTATTTGGTTGTAGTTGTTTTCAATTTTGCCCATCTTTGATTTACTGTCACCCCAGGGAATGTGAATCGATTGTTCTTCCTTGGAATCTGTATGGCTTATAGAATGATTCGCACTATTTTGCTTCCTAACTATCAACTAAATATTTGTTCAAAGAAGCAATGGCTTCCAAGAAATTAGTAGGGATCAGTAACAACATATATGTCAGCTTGCTGGTTCGTAAATTATATAAAGCATAATAATAAATAAATTTGAAAAATTAATATGTTTGATGTCAAAAATTAACAAGTGATATTGAATAAAAATGTTTGTTGATTTGTAAATTGCATGACGAATAATAAAAAGTAATGTCAGGCATTATAAAATAATGTTAATTGGTTAACAAATAATATTATGTAGTTTATAATTTAAAATAATAATTTTATAAGTAATGGATTTGTTATCGCCTTATAAGTTTGATGTTGAACAAGATCAAGTGTTATTTAACAAGTAAAGATAGACAATTAACATATATTATTGAGAAATTAATAAGTAAAATTACACAATTAACAAGTAACTCAATTGCTTTTCAAATCAACGGATTGAATAAGTCTTGTTACGATATTAAAAAGTCAAGTTACAAAATTAATAAGTGTTATTGCAATATTAACAAGTAAAGTTGAAAAATTAATAAATAATGTTGTTAAGTTTACAAGTAAAACTAAGTTGTTAACAAGTCTTATTGTAGAATTAATAAATAAAGTTATGTGATTAATAAATAATATATTTTAGCTGAGACAATCATAGATTTAATAAGTAAAATTAAGCAATTAATATGTCTTGTTAAAAACTTAATAAATAAAAATTATGTAATAAACAAATAACGTAGTTTAGTCGAGAAAGTCATAAATTGAACAAGTAAAATTAAATAATTAATAAATTCTATTAAGAAATTAACAAACTATACAATTAACAAATAATTAAAACAAGTCTTATGGAGGGAGTCACTTGGAATACTTGACCCCAATACAAAACTTCACATCACATTACATTGCACTTTATCATGGATCAAGCAAATGGGTTGTGGGTGAAAGTTGTTCACATTAGAGGTGGGAAACAAGTATACCTAATTTATATAAGCTCCAGTGTCATGCACTCAAGCTCTTAAGTTTAATTTTTTTAAAAATTCATTAATTTTTTAAGTTTGACCCTTATTTAAAAAGATTTAGAGTTGGGCCCATAAACTCATTTTTATTTTTTTAAAATTTTTAAAAATTAAAAATTATAATTATACTACTTTATATTTTAAAAAATATAAATTATAATATTAAAAAATTTAAAATAAATATTATAAATTTTAATTTTAAAGTATAAAATATATTTTAATATTATAATTTTAAATGGATGATTCGTCAAATCTGACTCTTATTTCTTACTTTAGTTCACTTCGCTGGAGAGATGAAAAAGGAGGAGGACAAATATTTACTACTATAAAAACAAAAAGGAATGGCAGAGAGGATGAAACGGGATCTAACAAGTGAGAAATGTCATTTGAAATATGAGAACCCTTGTTTTCGTGCGTTTTCTTTCCTGTCGTCTTTTTCCTTTTCTGTTTTTTTGCATAAAGACATTTCAGTATTTTCAAATAATAATTTTATTTCATTTTAAATCAAAACGGCCTGCAGAATATTTTTAGAATTTTATAAGCTTTATTAGTAAATAACTCTCTTTTTTGGTTTTATAGTAAAATTCTCCCTATTTTCATCCTCAATCATTCGGGAAAGTCGAAGATAAATTCTACAAAAACCCCTCTTTCCTAATCTATCCATGATTAGCGTTTTCTCTTTCAGGGGGTCAAAGGTGCGCCATACACGGAAAGGACTAAGCTGTATGGTCAAATTTTAATGAAAAAATTTCAGTGAAGGACTCTTGATCAAACATAATAAAATATAGGATCTTTAAATTTTTAAAATTTTATTAAAAGACTCATACAGAAGTTTTTTTTGAATTTATGATAGAAATAATAAAATTACCTTCATTTAAATAGATAATATAAACAACTTGTTTGTTTTCATATTATATGTTTTTCATTTATTTATGAAATATTATTCATTTTCTTACTTCACTTATTTATAACTCCAATTTTACTTAATTTTATTTTAAGTGTTGGTTTTATAATAAAATAATTCATTCATTTTTATACTGTATATTGTTTATTTATTTACAAAATGTTGTTCATTCACCTACTTTGCTTATTTATTCACCTATTTTGCTTATTTATGACTCTAAAATAAAATCAAGTAAAAGCAGGATTATAAACAAGTGAAGTAGAAAAATGAATAATATTTTATAAATAAATAAAAAATATACAGTATGGGAATGAATAAGTCATTTATGTTGTTTATTTAAATGAGGACAATTTTATTATTTTCGCCACAAATTCAAACAAAAATCCGTAAGAGTCTTTCAGTAAAATTTTAAAAATTTAGGGATCCTCTTTTTCATTATGCTTGGTCAAGGGTCCTTTATTGAAATTTTTTTAATTTTAAAATATCAAAGGCACTTGTCTTTCCCCAAAGTGATATTTTTTTTTGGTCAAACCAAAAAGTGATATTAAATACAACCATGAGAGTTCAATTGGTAAGAATTGTTTGTCTTCAATCAAAAATCTTGGGTTCAAATTCTGGAAATGTAGGCCTAATAAATTATTTACTTTTGCTTTTCATATCCTGAAGAAAATTTTTTTTTTTCGCTTGAGGAACATATTTAGGAAAACTAAAAAAAATTAATTTTCATCATTTAAGTTTATCTCAATTATCAATTTAATCATTCAAATTTATTTTTACCAAGTTAATCCCTCAAATTTGCCTCATTAATCTATTTGACCATTGTTGTGTTAAGATAAGGTAAACACTGATAAAATAAGTTATGAATATTGAGTTGACAACCATGTAAGTTACTAAAAAAATGTAATTATTTGTACAAAAAAACTCAAAAATTTTAAAAGAAAAAAAACAAAACGCGATATGTAAGAAAATAAGGAGAACAAGAAAATAAGAAACTAAGGGGAGAAAAGAAGAATATAAAAAACATAGTTGACTTGAATATATGTGTCAAGTCCTCAACATATTTTACATATCAAGTTAATTGGAGTGTTATTTTATGTTTCAAAATTTAAAGGAATAATGTAAAAACTTTAAAAAAAATGTATACATTGAAAAAATAAATTAAATTTAAAGAATCAAATCAATAATTAAGATAAGTTTAAAAATTAAAACTTTTTTCCCCTTCAAGAAATTGAGGAAGTAGAATATCCCGACAAAGTCACCTAATAATCATATCATAACACAAAATGTGCCAACATGCCAAAAAAATATAAATCCCACAAACAAAAGAGGCTCCTTATTATTAGTCAAAGTCACTGTGTCATATCCGTGATCCGTCTGGACATGGCCGGCCGCAACAAGGAAAAAAAAAAAAAAAAACCTCAAGAATCACTCAACACAAATCACAATGCTCTTTTTATTCTTTTGTCTTACCAACAAAGTCTCAGAAAGTTGCCTTCTTAACCATTTCTCACTTTTATGATCTCAAATCATCCATACTTGTCCCTCCACAAACCCAACCATCCCACCCAACCATCCACTCATCACCGACTCAACACGTCTTGCTAGTGCTAACACTGTGCATCATCAAATCATCCATAGATTCATCACAAGCAAACATAAATTTGTATGTATGTATGTATGTATCAGAGTTTTCTTCCATCGTTTCATCATTAACTTTAAATTAATTGAGCTCAAACACAAATTCTACCTTCTTTTAAGAGTTCATATGGGATTACCAACCAGCATTGATTTTAGTGGAAAAGATTGTGAGTTATGACTGCTTAAACATGTTTTGAGTTTTAACCCATGTGAATGCAAAGGAATTGAAAAAGTTAAACTCAACAATATTCAAACTTGATTCATTCATAGAGCCATTAAAAAAAGATCTCATATGAGTTTGATTCTCCTTTCATGTGTACTCCGGATACAGTTTCCAACTCTACTTGGTATATACAAGTTCATGATCTGAACCTGCATGATTTAGAACCAAGAGCATATTAATAATGTATACCGAAGTGGTCCTCTCTCTTGTACTCTAAATGGGAAGAGGAGAAAAAAAAAACTGAGTAGGCCGCAGAAGAATACGAAGGAAATGGCGTGAAACATGAAAAAGGAAAAGAGGCATGAACATTTTTATGCTTGTTGAAGTAGACTAGAACTATGTGTTTTTGAACTTTTTGACAGATACACATGAAGCAATTATGTGCTTTCGCTACCTTAAGTGGTAGGCGACCTTACAACCACCTCATCCCTCAAAATCTCAGAATGATGATTATTTGTTATTTTTTTCTAAGGTAAAAAAAAAATAGAAAAGAGAAGGTTTCTTCCTCATTGTTCCACAAATACTCATTATCTTTCCTCTAATGTATCTTCATCCTCAAGAATATTCCAACCACTTCCCCCTTTTTCAATCCCAGAGATTATACAAGCAAAACAAAGTAATTTCTGGTGCAAGGAAGTCAGATCATATGCCTTATCACTAGTTATGATTGTGAGTAAAATGCAACTCAATTTTTAAATATCAAATATTAGGGTCAATAATAAGGGAGAGACTATTGAGTCCAAGCTTCGAAATATCTCTCCAACTCTTTCACAGAATTCTTTAAAGAAGGTGGTCCCCATGATTTCTTTAGTGAAAAACACGGAGACGGCAAGGTTGGGTCAGGTTACCTCAGTACAAGGGACACTTTTTTTTTTTTTTTTTTTCCTTCCTTGGGTTTAAAGTCAAAAATCGAAGCAAGGTCATGGGTGGTGAAACTAGGAATCTTTTTGTTGTCATAATCATCATGCCTCCCAAAGTACCTGAATCACCAAGATAGCTAAGAGCAAAAATGAGATATCAAAGCTCAGGCCTAACATTTAGCCACTGATAAAAGGCATTCGCCATGGATCATAAGAACTGGAAAACATGAAAGGACACAAACATCCTTAAATTAATTGGATCAAAGAGTGGTGGAATTAAGAAACAAAAGTTTCAACTAACAACTTGTCATGTTCCATATGAATACGAAAGAAACAGCCAGCTACCACCTACCAGATATAATGGATGAGGCCTTGAGATTTCTAACCAAAAAGAAAAAGGGTTTGCACATTTGTCTGTACATTTCCATTGCTTCCATCATATGGGACAATGACAAAAACATTCTCAGATTTCCGGACATTTTCAGCTACCAAAGCTGCAGAAGCTTAAAAATAAAAAAAAGGCGTAGAACCCAGATGCTACTTTCCCTTAATCGTCAACAGGAGCAGGTAGATTGAGATCAATCAGGCATGGAACCAAAGGAGGTCCATGTTTGATCACCACTGTGTTCTCTTCAGAACCTCCAACAAAATGAGACCTTTTGTGACCTCCTAACGCTTGGCCTGACTTGAAAATTTTGTAGCAGATAGGACATTCATGGTCTCTACTTTTCTTTGACTTCAATTTCTTCTTGAACTTGCTGGTCTTCTTTCCATTGATGACCTTGCTGCCATGAGGTCTCGGAGCAGGAGAAGCATCAGTGTCTGTGCTGCTTTCATCACTCTCGTCTGCTGAATCCTTAGAGCCACTGATAATTTTTTCACTGTTTAAGCTCTCTGGGTTCAATGACCCCTCATTGTAAAAACCATTTGGTGTCCTTTTGCAAGTAACACCAACTGAATTGTTTTGGCGAAGAGAATCATAACATCGTCTCTTTCTCCAATTGATGAACTCTTTCCTTGTCGCTCCTTTTTTTGTTGTATTGTAGTCCACATCCTCCAAAATTAGTTTTCTGGGTTCATTGCTTCTGGTTCCTCCTCTGTTCTTGATTAGCATCTTCTTCCTCAATTCAGCGTCATAGTTCTGATAAAACTCACGCCCAGATCTGACTTCCAATTTAGGCGTCTTGAATCCCCCATTCCTAGGGTACCCATCAATTGAAACATCCAAATCCAACTTTTTGTGACCATTTCTGAAATACCCAGAATCTGAATTATCAGAATCGACAATCTCAGCAGACTTCAACTTCATGTCATTATACTGCACCACCTTCTCCACGATCTCAAAACCATTATACACACAACTTTTTTTACCATTGTTGAGAGGAATAGTGTCCACAGACGGTGATTTTGCCTCTACCACAACAGAATTGTTCTCCGACGACTCAGCTGGAAAAACAAAACGACCTCTATGGCTAGAGTCTTTGGACAATAACATCAAACACCTTGCGACCTCTTCTTGCTCCTGCTCCACCTCAGACACAGAGGAAGAACCATTCGCCAAAGAAACAAAAGAAGGTTGATCATTTTTATCAGTATTCACGGTCTTGAACCTCATTCTTCTGGATCTCCTGGGGTGATTTGGAGCAGATGTCTCAGTATCCGATTGACTATCCACCACCAATTTCTGCTTCATTCCAAACCCAGGCCCAGAATTGTTCTGAAACTTGTTCGTCGTCCCTTTATCTTTCTCCGAATGACAAGCCATGTGGCCGCAGAGAGCTTTCAGAGACAGAAAGCCTTTCCCACATTCTTTGCAGAACCTCTCTTGTTGTGAAGCAGCGTTGTTGGAATGTACGAACCTCGTTGTTTTCTTGGGATTCTCTCGAAGACCAAAAATTGGATTTTCGGAAGCAGCTTCTTCAGACCCAAAATCTCTCTTCCTCTTCCTTCCATCATCGAACTTGACGACACTATCATCGGCATTCGTTCTACCTTTCTTGGATTGAGATGAAGAATGTTCAGTAGTCATGTGAGTCTTGATGTGTCCACCCAGAGACTTCCCAGATGGGTACTTCTTGTTGCAATACTTGCACACGAACTTCTTTTCCTCCATGAAAGCTGATCTGAAATATCTCAAACAAAATATATATACCCAGAAAACTATAGTCTACCAGTTACCTTGAATCTTCAGCGTGTTCCACGATGATCATGTATCCCTCCCAAGTGTTGTGAAAACGACGCGGCAGCCGGGCAGTTAAAGGGACAAAATTGTAGATCAAGTTCAGAAACAAAGAAACAGATCAGGAAGTTTCTTGCTTTTTCACCAGGGACGATCAGATACGTGACAGGTCTATGAGTACAAGATCCGACCCACAAAAAGGGAGAGACCCCTTGATTTCCGTTTCCCCAAGTAGTACTCCCAAAAAAACCCAAACAAAAAATGCCGGAAAATTGATCTTAATCCCCATACAGCGACAAACAAACAAACAAAAATCAAAATTTGAAGAAATGGGTTGGTGACAGAGGTGATGAGGAAGAAGAATCGAAGAAAGCAACTAGCGAGGCAAGAGTGTTTTTCATTGCTGTTGGAGTGAGGAGAATTCCATGCATGAAAGAAATTATTAATTAATAAAATAAAAGAGTGGGAGAGAGAAGAGAAGAGAAGAAAGAATGATAATAGGAGGCACGTGGAGTGTGTGGAGAGGCTGAAAGTAGAAAGATGAGGGGTTAAGATGAGGCAATGTGTTGTGAGGATCTGAAGGCGTGGGGAAGCAGCAGATATGGCACACCTAAAAACTGAAACATCCAAACAATGCCTTAAATTGTTGTTTTACTTTTAGGTCACCAAAGTGAAAGGTCTCGCCGTTGTTGTTTGGATCTCCCTTGCTTGCCCTAGAGTTAGAAATAAAAATGGACCTAAAAAGTTGAGTTTAAAAATTTTGTTTAAATAAGAGTTTAAATTTTAAAAATTAATTTTTTTTAAAGTAACCGAACTTGAGGGCTTAACCCTAATAAGCCTTGTAAAAAAAAGTTCAGGCCTGAACGGCTCTTTAAGCCCTATTATATTATTATTATTAATTTTTTTCTTTGGTGGTACATACATTTAAAGCTAAGAAGAACCTGCTCACCTGAAATTCTAATCCTACATGCATTACATTGTTATTAATTTTAATTTATTGTAAAATTAATTTAATATAATTTAATAAATATCAATGTATAATATAAAATTTTTATATTTTTTATTTTTATATAATTATTATGTTTGTGTATTTATAAAAAAAAAACTATTTTTTAATTAAGATTTAAATTTTCTTACTAGACTTCTAAATACATGTTGTTTAATTTCTAAAAGATTATGAAGATTTTGATTTTTTTAATTTTAAAATTTTTAATTAATTTATAGTTCTTAATTTTATTATATATTTTTTAATTTTTTTAGAACAAAGCTTATGGGCTCAGCCTTAAGTCCTTTAAATAGGGCCGAGCCTCAAAAAATGAGTTAAAAAAATCAAGCTTAAGAACTCAAGCTCTTATGGGCTACATCCTTGAAGGCTAGGTTTACAAGGATCGAGTCCATTCGTTTTCCAACTTTAAGTTGCCCCTTCTCATTCATAACCATATTTAATTACATTTATTTTTTTATGTTTTTTTTGTTTAAAAAAAGTACAGATTAATTTGATTCAAAAAAATCAGCAAGGTCAGAGTCATGCCTTTGGACTCATCGAATGTCCATAAAGTTACTGGCATATTACTCCCTAACAATACCTTTGTATTAATAGCTAGATTTGAACACATAATTTTATAAGTTATAGATCAAATATTTACTAACTAGCCAAGTATTTATTGGTTTATATTAAATTTATTATAAGATAGGTTTATTATAAGATTTAAAAATATTTTTCAATTTGAAATCATTTATTCCTTCAAAGTTTTATTTAATTTACAATTTAGTACCTATGTGTTAATAGTATTAATTTTGAAGAATGATAATTAAGTCTCAAAATATTAATTCAATTACAATTAGGTCACCAAAAAAAAGTTACTTTAAAATCAATTGAAAATAAAAATTCAAACTATTATAATTTTATTTAGAAGTCTTAATTACAAATTAGACATTAATATTTTAAATATAACTCTCAGTATATAGCTACAGTTCTCATTCATGTCTATTTGAATTGATTTTTATAAATTAGTTTTAGAAATTTTTTTTAGGAACATAACTATCATTGAATTGATATTTTGAACCCTAATTGTCATTCTTCCTATTAATTTGGTCCTTGTGATTTTAAAATGTCAAATATATTCTTGCCATACCTTGAATATTATATATACACCCAAAATGTAGTTTTTTTTTTAATTGAGTATCACTTTTTAGATTAAGGCTAAGCATCGGACCAAGTTTATTTGATTCTTTGAAACCATTTTATTTAATGTTCATTTGACAAGTTTAAAGGGCATTTAATTAATATTTTGAAATTATATGGGCCAAATTAATAGTAATCAAAACATGGAAACCGAATTACAAATTGGGTAACATTTTGAGGGCTACAAGTTTTTTCTTAAAAAAATCACACCTAAAATTTTAAAAGTTTACAAATTTAAACTAAGAGTGGCCATCTATAATGTGATATATACATGACAAGTTAGGAATTATATTATCTTTAAGTGTGAAAATCCCAGTTGTGATAATCTTTATTTTTTTATGTAAGTGATAATCTTTATTTTCTTGTAATTAATCAACTTAAGGTTAGATGGAAACACTTGGTAGTAGGTAAATATAGGCATACTAGTTAAAGCTATAGGATTTAGGTTCAATATATTTTTTTGGGAGAATTTCAATTAACGATCGTAAATGGAACTAAATTATTGGTAGGTCAAAAAAAAATTTAAAACTTCAGTTTAGTTCATGAAAATTAAAATAAAAATAATTTCAATGGTGAAAAGACCAAACTATCATTTACTTGTTATACAGAATTACTCTCTCTATTAAAAAATATAAAGTATTTTTTGAGGAGTTAGATGTTTAAAAATGTAAGGTATTTTTAGTCATTTGAGATGTAATTATTACCTTTTTTTTAAAAATATTCCTATTGATGAATGACTTTATATTTATTGTACGGTGTTTAATAGGGGTAAATATAGAAAGATAAAGTTAGTTTGAAAGTAGGTAACCACTTTATTAGGGGTAAGATTCGATTAAAAATATCTTATATTTTTTAATTGAGGGAGTATTAGTTATTAATTTTCTTACTTTACTTATTAATTTACTAATATGAATTGTAAATTTTATAAATTTACATGTCAATAATTTGCAAGACTTGATATTAGTTATTCAATCATCAATAGCAATATCAATTGTTAAATTGTTAATTTTACCTATTAGTTTACCAACATTAGTTATAAATTATTGACAGATATTATAATTTACAACTGATATAAATAAATTAATAAGTAAAGTTAGCATAGCAATAATTTATGTTACTGCTTATGTAATTTACATTTTAAATTAAAAAAATTATCAATGGTTTGATTCAAATGAAAAAAATAGGTAAAGCAATTTGTTTACAAACCAGAACAATCCATGAATTTCTTGACATGAAACTTATATTACATGGGCGTCAACGAGTGTGATTCGTAAGTTTTGTCATTTTTTGGGATGTTTTATGGGAAAGGAAGAAAGGGCATGCGGTGAATAGAATGCAAACAGCTTTAGACACAAATGACTTATTTGAGATTAAATTTTTATGTACAATTAATTTAGTACTTCTTTGTAATTTAGAAAATTGTGATTTTTTTAAGTTGTTTTAGTTATTGATAGAACTAAACTTGTAAATATTTATATTAAATTTATAAATAATATAAAATTAATTAGACTTTGTTGATAGAAAGTTGTGATTTTTTAAATCATTTTAATAATTAATGGAACCACACTTTTAAATACTTATATCAAACTTATAAACCATATAAAATTAATTACAGTTTACTTATTGAAAAAAATCACTGATAAAAAGCTGCGATTTCCTATATCGTTTTAGTAATTAGTGAAATAAAAATTGTAAATACTTATACTAAATTTTTAAACTATATAAAATTAATTGTAGAGGAATATTAAAATAATTTTACTTAGAAATTTAATATTAATGAAGTCATTATTATTGTTACATTTTGCAGGATTAAATTATCACTTTTTTCTATTTTAAAAGAATTTATATACCATTTCCCCTATTGGAAATAACCATAAAGCTTGAAATTATGGAATAGCATGAATTACTGGGCCCAAGTACTCTTGAATCCCCATAACAACCAAATTACCTGTTCAAGTTGTTGTCCATTTTGATTATTCAAGTGTCGTTTATATGAGGAATTTTTTTTTTTTTTTCACTTCTCTCCCAAGTTTTACCTCAATTTCAAAGAAGCTTTTTTTATAGCTTATAAGTTTACCCTCCTTGTACTTTCAAATTATCATCTACTCTTCTTGGTTTTTCAAGTATTTTTATCATGGTCAAAGAAAATTTTAAATTTTATTAACTTTATTTAAATATTCAACAAGTTTAAAATTTTACTTCTATTAAATATACATACTTTAAAAATAAAATCTTTTAATATTTAATAACATTTTCAATGTTTAATAAAAATAAAAAAGTAAATATGAATGTAACAATCAACTGAGGTGTTTTATAAATAAAACAAAAATAAATACGTATTATCAGAAGAATAAACATCATGGCAACACACTTGAACTCTTGTGATTAGGAAATTGTTGTTCAGAGATCAAAAAAGAAAATTAAATATACATTGGGACTTTTTTTTTTTTGGGGACAAATATACATTGGGAATTTAAACATCTCCAGGAAATCTATCCAAGTCGACTCAACTGAACAATGTAGCGCTGGACGCCGAAAAGCTACTAACAACGCCGTCGTTATTCACAACGTCCCTGAGCAATGTCAGCAACAGACTTAGCCTACTAAGTTTGTTTTCTTTTTCTTTTTTTTTTTTCAAGAGTTTATTCGGTTGCTTCTGCTCTCTACCCCTCTCATCACAATTTTCGTTCTTCATGTCACAAGTTTAGTCCTCTGTGACCTCATGAGCTTTAGTTGTTATGATTTGGATATTTTTCCTTTCAATCTACTTATAAGACATTAATCTTCTAGGATAAACTTTTAGTCTTTAATATAAAGTATTAGGTTATTTATTTATTTATTTTTACTAGTAGATGAAGCTTTCATTTGAAATTAAAACAAGCACAGTGTGCAAGTACACATAAGAGTGAAATAAAAAAAAAAAACAACAACAAAGTAAAAGGAGTTAGTCAATGCCTTCACGTGGCTTACCAACATCAAAAAAAACTCAAGCATCTTTAAATAAAATGGCTAAATTTTGAGGGACCCATCCTCTTTGAAGCAAGGGCTACTAAAAGATCTGTAACTCTATTACTAAATCTGCAGGCGGAGGAGAAAGACACCCAACTCATCCTCTTTTTCATATCTAAAACATCCATAAGAATTTGAGCACTTTACCACTCACATCCCTGAAGATTCATTGAAGAAATGGCTTGAAAAACAACAAGATTATCGTCTCAATTATTGTATCCATTGGGTCAGTGATAGCTGCAACTTCAAGTGCCTTCTTAATGGCCATAGCTTCCGTCTTTAGGGGGTTCCAGGTTTCATGGTAATAAC